TTCTCTATGCGCATGCGTAAAGTTTGTGGCTTTGAGATCCGAATTATAGATCATTCTGGATAATGGACGTCCGGATTACAGACTTTGTACTTAGTAGTTTTGAGAAATTTGTGCTTTCTTAGCAAAAACCCTGGCCATTCAGAGGGTTAAGTTCTAGAAAACACCATTACCAGTAGCAATGAAAGTGTATACAAGTATGAAGAGATTTAGATTGACAATATAATTGGAATTCTTTAATATGGAAATTACATAACTTATACATTAGAACTTTGTAACTGAAACAAACACAAAATTATATCTATCTATAAAATTAGAGAGAAAGGATTTGTACAAAAAATTAAACAGCTTAAATAACTTACACTGTTTAGTAAAACAGTCTTCAGCTTGTACTGTATGATATAATTTTAAGCACATTTGATGCTAAGTGTGTCAAACTAATAATTTTTATGAACACCTGCAGCATTATTTTAATTAACAAGTTGACTGCCAAGTAACTGCATAATAATTATGAGTTTGCAATTTTATAAAAAGACACAGATGAGATAATTCACACAGCTCGTCCTTTTTTTTTTTCCCACATTGTACTTTTATATTTGTAGAATAGTAAGTGCATTCAAAGAATGATGATTTTAAGAAAAATATTTAAAATCAAGTTTGGCTAATTTAAACTGAAATTGAAAATTTGTTAATATGTAAAGACATGTAAAGGTACTTTTTGATTATCTGCACATTCCCTTGAAAAGTACTCACAAGGCAACATTATGTCACGAAACCAGGCAACCCATGACATGTTTAAACAGTATTTATGTAGAAACCCACACACGCATGCAGTAAGCAAGCAACTGGTGATCTCCACCTTCAAATTTTAGTGTTTTTCATTGGATTCGGTGAATTTTTCTTTTTCGGTTAGAGAGAAGGGTACCCCGTTGCTTCATTTATCACCAACTGGTGGTTTATTTATGGTAGCCTGAGTAGTTGAATGTTATGGAAATCCTATTATGATGTAATCGGTTGCATGATTGATTGTGGTGAACTTGTAAAGGCTTGTTGTGCGTGTTGGTTAGGAAGTACATTGCTTGTTTTGTGGTTTAGATGGTAAACTTTTTGAATGTGGTAAGATTAATTTGAAGTTTCTGTATGATTTGGAAAGAAAGGGGAAAAGAGCATTACTTGACTGGCATGTAAATGAAGTTTTAGTTAGAAACCATTATTAAATGTCCTGTTTCTAGGAAGGAAATGCGTATGGTCGGCCGATACGGTGTTACAGAGGATATCTTTGACTCTTATTTTTTTAATTTATGTGGCGAAGCCAGTATACAGATTCTAGTTCAGATAATTTTAGGAAGTTTTTGGATGCTGTTAAGGAATTTTGTTTGATTGAAGATGTGTTAATTCGTAAATAAAGTAAGTGGATATTTCCTTTGTGTAGTGCAAAGATGAATTTCCTTTTTTATGTTATTTCACTGTTTAATTTGAAATGTAGTTTATTACAAAAAATATATATATATATATTTGTTGTTGTTGGCTGATCCTTTGATGTTTTAAGTGAATATAGGCCGATGTGTACATGGACAAAGTCAAGAGAACGCACAACGCCTAGTTTGTGCAATTCTCCAATTTTTTGTCAATGTGTACATAGATAAAGAGTTTGTGCAATTCTTATATTTGTTATTTTGGCTTTGTGTAGCCGCAATTTTTGGCGCAAAAATCGATGCTACGCAAGCCAAAATAACAAGTCAAAGAATTGCACTAACTCGATATCCATGTACCACCAAAAATCGCCAATTTTCGCCAAGGGGTACCCATAAATATAATTTTACCTCTTTTTCTTGTAAGGAACTGTAATGCAACTGTGCAGGCCAATGTAAGAGAAAACACTACATTTTCTAGAAATATGGCCTTTTCCCTATTAGTAGAGATTCCATAAAACTGTACTTTGTAAATGATCAAATTTTTAAGGATAAAAATTTGGATGCCAATGACAAATTTGTACAAATCTCCGATTCTTTTTTAAATGAAAGATATCACTGTGTACATGGAGAGAAAAACAATATGTGCTGTGGCAAGTTTCCGCAGTTCTCTGACAAATCGTCGTGTACTCGAGGAGAATGCTGGAAAAAAAACTGTGTCTTATTAATTACAGATGTTTCTTGCATTTGTAATTTTGTTAATTGGTTGCTGTTTTATGAAATTCTTAGTGTGCCACTATTTTTTAAAATGCTGTCATCTTTCATAGCTTAGCTACGCAAAAATTTAGTTTCCACCAACTGGCAACTTTTTGGGAAGGGGCATCTGATAATCAGAATGTAATAATATAAACATAAAATGGTACTTCCTTGTTATAGTGGTCACCGCAAACACTTTGGCAAAATTTTGTGACATTTAAAATCTAATTTAGCAAAAACTGAAAAACACTGTGGCTGCTTTTAAAAAATGTAAAAACCCATATCATAGCATAATATATATATAATGTACAATGTATACAATGATAAGGCTGTGCAAAATGCCAATTTGTGAAATATTCTGATGTTTTTTAAAGCGAAACAGATCATGATATACAGGGGAAAATGAAACTGTTATTCTCTTATTTACACAATTTGTTTTCACTTAAAAAATATCTCGCAGAATTACACAAATTGAGCATTTCACACATAACACATATGTATTATTATTATTATTATATGATTCATTACTGTTATTAAAGGTTCACTGTTACTCTCATTATGAGTTTGCCAATTTTGGGGACTATTATAATTAGTGCCATTTAAGCATTTACATTTAAGATAATTACCTATATTTAGCCGCAAAGTTTACATATGATTCAAATAAAATAAAAACCAAAAAAAAGGAAAATAAAATTCTTTTTGTAAGAAGATTTATTTGATTTGTTAAAGTTTTATATCCTACATACTATGTGATAAACAGAAAAATAATCTTATATTTTAAAACTTTAACAAAATCTAAGATTACATTCTTGTACTCTTCAGCAAGTTACATTTGGTTATCTAAAATAAAATAATTCGCAAAACATGACTGATTCACTTGTTGCATTCAGAGTGGTTTGTTTCAGATGAAAAACTTAAGTACGTCAGTTATTAGGTGGGTATCACGAATACAAGGGAAACACCAACTGCTATACAGAATATGATAATTAAATTATCAAATTTTAAAAAATACATGCAAAAAAGGTTAATAAAAGACCTAATAAGCAATGTTTTCAAAATCAACGAAAAAAGACCTGTCACCAGACTTCAATTTAATCAAACATCTGTTGTATAAACAAAAGAGGAGATTCTCCAAAATAATAATTTCTAGTGCAACAGACTCCAAGATCTTTTGTCTGCAGAAAGGCACACAGTTATTAGAAATGATGCACAAAAATTTCTGAACTCCATGCCAGAAATGCTTTGCAGTCACAGAAAATAATGGAGTACCAAAAAGCTATTAAAATTTATTTATTACTTACTATAGTAAAAACTATACATAAAGTTTTGTTGAATATAACAATGAAATATTCATTTTATGTGTGTTTAAAGAATGCAATTACTGTATGAATTTTTGTATACATAATGTTTAATTATTATGCAACATATAAATATATCTGACAAATGAACTGATTTCTATTTTCCTTTTTACATTTTTTAATCATATGTAGACTTTTGTGGCTAAGTGTATGTGCTTTATTTAACATTTAAATAGTATATGATAATTTAATTACTTCTCCTGATTCTGCGATTTCACTTTTCAAAATAGCCCTTTATAACAGCCCACCAAATCTTTAGACAAAAATAAAGCAAAAAAGGGTGTCTTATTTTCGAATAAACACGGTATGCTGATTTTCAAATTTGGGCATATGCTCTCAAATTAAAATTTGCTTAGGATCATTGCTTCCGATTCTTTAAACTAAATATGAATTTTTTTACATACAGAAGTATACGTGCAAATTTTACAGCACAGAGCGAATAAATATGTATACCTATTCCGTAACCAGTATAATAGAAAATTATGAAATGTAATTCCGAAGCCGATTCCATCTAGCATATGTTAATAATACCAGTTTCAAACACTGTTTTTGAAAGCATTGTCTGCAAATCCAGACACGATGAATCAAAAATATAACACAAATGCGTATCCCCTCTCCGTAAAAATTTTATAAAACAAACAGCGCTTAGTGCTTATACAGAAGAACCTATAACAGTAATCAATACAGTTTAATACCGTAATGTGACAATGAAAAACTTTACAATAAAATATATTACGTTTTCATGCAACTGTCATCAGTACGAAACCGAGATACCGGTTATCACACGCATTTATTCAATAAACAAATGCTTTCAAAACATAGTTCGCGTATATATGTCCACGCTCAAAATGATAAAAAATATTCAAAACATCTAATACCACTGAATAAATCTACAGACCGACCGATGTCATCGCATATTCGAATTCTTATTCTTCCTCATCATTAGATGTTATCGTTTGGTTATGGAAAAATGCTGAGCTAGCTTCGAAGACATTAGGCTTAGCATTAATCAATACAGAAACATGCTAGTTGAAAATGTATTTTAAGCTCTTATTGGAAAATATATCGGGTTTCCAATATATCAAATAACTGAATATAGTGCTCTTAAATTAATTAATGCAGGAAACACTGTTTTATATTTACGATAAACTGAAATCCGAATATTTACAACAGCGAGAAATATTATCTGTCTATTGGCATCTTGGCGACATAGTATGTATCTTGAAATCTTTCTCTGACAGTAGGTTTAATGAATGATACGAAAACAGTAGGCTATTCTACCCGTGTAATATTTTATTTAGACTTTATGTGTAAAATATACACTGCGATACAGTACCTGTGTACCGATAAAGCGCTGTTACGTTATTTCCCAGAAATAAAGATTATAATAAAAATAATGTCGTTATGTGATCTTTCAGATCATACACCCCAAACTAAGATTTTAAAATGGTAATAGAAATAAAAATCTATGACTCACCCAATTACTCCTCACGTGCTATGCACGTGGAATAATGCCAAGGAATGTAACTTGGCTTCAAGGACATGCGCCAAGGCCAAGAGAAAAGTGCATTTGGTTATCCTTTTAAGATTGAGAATTGCGATATAACTCGCGTCAGTTTGACATGTTTAATAGTTCACGTACGATCAGAGAAGAAATCAAAATGAATGGTATCCTTAGTGAAACATGTTATAAGTGAAATCTATAGCAGAAGGCTCCCATACTTATTTAGTGCCACACATATTCCTTCCATACGCCACATACGGCAAATAGAAGACTAAACACTCGTCCATCTGCTCCACGGATTGACCGCTGACTCTAGAGAAGGGTTGCCACTCTTAGAACAGCGCTCTGGAGGAAAATGGAACGAACAGCGCCAAAGCCTGCCAAATGAGGTTTGCAGAAGCCGCAGAAATGGATTCGTGTACATTTGCTGCTAGGGGGTGTGTCGCGTTATTTTGACAGCGCGAGGGATTGCAGGTTCTTCTAAGTCCACGTCTGCGATTGCTGAAGGTGTTAGATTTAATCGACTGCCAAATTATTTTTATGAAAAGCGTATCTATACCTTACTGTCATTTTAAATATATTCAGCTCTTTTTTACATGTTAATTCAAAATAATTTCCTATTAAAATTTTGATCTCTCTCTCTGAACCCTTCTTTAAAAAAAAAATTAGTAAACTTAATTCCAAGAAAATCATCTTATGGGGAAGGGAATTCTTAAAATTTGCGTTTGAAATAAATATGTCAAAATGGTTAAAGTTAAATGGTTAAGTTATGTATGGTTAAAGTTTTCTTATCAGTTTTGAAAAATTACTTATCTGGGATTAAAAAACCTCCTGCCCCCCCCCAAAAAAAATAATCTGCTAATATACTGTAGCTCATGAAAATGATCGAACACTTTGAATTTTTGTATTCTTTAATGAACATAAAAACTAAAATAAATTAAAACAAAAAGAAAGGCCTTTTACTTTGATTATATATAAATTCAGCCTTTTTTATAGCAAATACATTTTCGAAAAGATGAAATTAAATTCAAAAATCCATATCGTTTGTTTAATGAGGAAAAGTATTCTTACAAAAATAGTCGGACACTTTTTAGTAACAGCCGAAAATGACAAAAACTTGTATTGTTTTTGCTTCTTAATATCTTGTGGGGAATTAACTACCTCTGTCATTTAATCCTTTGAGCATTGACTCCGCAAATTTTTTGTTTTGTTTTGTTGTTACTTTCAGACTTAATTCATGCTACTCTTCTTGAATCACTGTTTTCAGTTACGACCGCGGGCCCACCAGCGGCCGAGCGGTAAAGTCGCTGAACACTGGTAGTTCGGTCCGAGGTTCGAATCCCGCGAACGGGCTGGCTGCATGGGCGTTTTCGTGGTTTTCCCCATGTGTAACGTGTATACGAGCCAGTTTCCCTTAGAAAGTCCTCCACGAAAGGCATCCCTCCCCTTAGGCAGATAGCCCCCGTGTGCTTTGCCATAATTAAATACACCAACACCAGTTAAGGCCGCTAAGATATGCTCTGTTTTCGAATTTTCGATTCTAGTTTTCCTGCCAAATATGTTCAATAGGATTCAGATCTGGCTACCGGGGTGGTACTTTAATTACTCCTGATTACTTATATAATAGCCACAGTCTAACATCGTGCGCAGCACGCTTTGAATCAATGTCCTGGTAGAATTTAAAACTATATTGTATATTGAGTTTTTGTGCTGACTATGCCAACTTTCGCTTCAAAATGTCAAAATATTTATACTGATCCATAATGCCATCCATAAACGTTACATTACCAACAGTGGAGTGTGCCATAAGATCCCCATATTGTGTAACTCTTCCTCGGCCGTGTTTAACATTTGATACTAAGTTTTTTTGCTTCCGAAATAATTCTTTGGGCTTTCTCCACACGAACATTCTTCTTAGCCGAAGATGTTAAATTTGCTTTTCATCAGCAAACAACACTTTTTTCCAGTACTCGGGTGTCTTTTGTTTCATCAATTTTGAGAAAGCGAGTCGAAGTTTTCGGTTTTTTTATCTGACGTAAAATTTTCTTCCCACTACTCGCCCATGATACCCTGCAGATCGCATTAATTTTCTTTCCGTTTCTTGGATTTACACGTATTCTATATTTCACGTAGTTCGCAACAAATGTAGGAGCACTCAGTCTTGGAGTCTTTTTAATATTCCCTAGAATAAAGCGTTTCATTCCATCAGATAACTTAGATGGTCTTCTTTTGTTTTGAATATGATTCTGCTTCTTATAAAGTTTAATAATATAAAAAAACTGTAGAATTTCTTAAATTAAGTTTTAAATAGGCAGTTTTTCTAACAGGTTTCCCTTTCTTTTTTATGCAAATTAATAACTAATGGTGAGGGTTTCTAACGATGTTTCCTTTTGTGATCGAGCCTTCGCAAGAAAACATTAAAATAACGAATATTTTCTAAAAAGAAAATTTAATTAAATTTACTAATTATTTTTTACAAATTTATTGATACAAGGAGAGAGCTAAGAAAATGTGTATTCAAAGGGAAAATATTCCTTATTATTTTATTTCAAAGCTTTTATCCTATTACATGAAAGTAATTAAAAAATTATAGTGGTCGATCATTTTTGTGAGACATTGTAGCTAGGTAATTACATACCAAGCTTTCTGCATTACTGTAATATGAAGGATAAAAAATTTCTTTGTTTTGTTTATCAAATTCTAATTTTAAAGAAAGAGAGCCCCCCCCACACACACATATGTTAAGGGCTTATTCTCCAAGAAATACAATGACAGAAGGTTAATGAAAGAAGGTAAATTTTCGTTCCAACACGTTTCTTCCTGCGGATTTCAGCACCTGCAGAATTTTTGGAGCTATATAACTAAATGCAGCGAAAGAAAAGTATCCCTTTGTTTACAGCTAACCCTGAGATTGGAGTAAAATCTGTTTCCTCTGTCACATTTTGCCTTAACTTAAAAAATTATATTGGCAGAGTTTTTGCAGCTGAAGCAGTCAATAACTTCTGTATATCGCCAAAAATTCAAATAACCGGCCGAATAATTTAGCTAGACCAGCGGTCTTCAAGCTTTATCCACTCACGGAACCATTCGAACTAAGATTTTTTTTGGAGAGAACCTCATTCCACCCTTAGGCAAAATACATCTTAAAATATTTTTTTTAACTACATGAATATGTTACAGATACTTTATGTAAAGTCAATTTAAGAAATTTGAATTTTTTATTAAAATGATTTTAATGAAATTATTGAATTTTTATTAAACTATTTTAACATAAAATTAATGTAAGTTACTTATTATTAGCATTAACTCGTACTCCAATGTTCCCTACCGTTGCATGGTATTTATAATAACAGAAGTCTACTCGCATTTTTTTACAAAAATTTTCGAAGTATAACGGTTATTGATGCTAACGGTAGCCGAATTTCATATTCTGCATTTAATTTGTTTCTACATTCTGTTTTGTTGCCACATATGTTGAGAAAACTTTTTCACTTAAATACGTTATTTGGAATATCATTAAAATGTTTTATGGTTATATGCGAAACTTTTGAATATTCTGCATGAATCTACAACCAAAAATTTAGGATCTGCTTACTTAAATTTAGATTTTAGCTTTGAATTGGTTGATATCTCTTTAAGTGGTTTCCCTTTCCTTCACTGGAGAGTCTTCCGATTAATCTTAGTACTCGAACGGGCTTTTTATCCAGTCTTAGTTATTTTTCCTTCTCGGGAATATTCTTTTATAATTTCCTTCAAACGTGCTCCATTGTATAAATTTTAACACTGTCGTTTAAAGTCAATTCATTTTCCATTAGAATACTGTTTAGTTACTCAAAGTATTGCCCGTCATTCTCTTTGATATATGATGACTACATATTAAATTTTAAAGTACTATATTTTTCTCACTAACTATATTTTTATAATTTTTAGTTAATAAACACTAGTCAACTAGTCTGAGTGCCTTATAGTTTTCTTTTCGATTTTTTATAGAATTGATAGATGTTATCTAGGATGTCATCTGCCGTCCTAGATAACATCTATCTGCTGAAATAATGAATAATGACATTTTTCCAGACTTGGATGTAGATGTCGGATACCGAATTCCAAACTCAGCTATAAATCGATATTCTTAGAACTCAAAACTCAAATAACGTGCAAAGTTTTAACACAACACTCTTTTTATTCTTTGTGTAACATTAATAATTGCAACGTTTATATTATAAAACATCTAACTGCGAATATGAAGACAAACTCTCTCGTTAAACACAAACTTAAACTCCGAAACATTAGAATACTCTTTTCAGTTGCCAGGCTCAGAATTACAAAGTTACAAACGATAAATACATGAAGTTATACTGAAAAATAATTACAAATAATAAAATAAAAGTAAATTTAACATAATTTTAACATTCAGTTTTCTACATTCTCCCATCTTGAGTTGGCAGACTTCACAACTCAACAATTGCGTTACAAATCAAGTCTTTCTTGTATTTTGATACCTCTTCCAGATCGAGTTGTTACAGTTCGTGTAACGGGTTCCGCAGGGTCTGCTACTCGTGCTTGGGGTATTTCAGAATGTGACACTTGCTTACTTTGCATTTTAGTTTGTACATCCTTACCCATTTCACAAGTAATCTCTAACGGAAACAGCCGTTGTATCGGTCTCATTATTTCTCCGTGAGCTGTCCGAAGTTTCACGAGTCTGGCGATTCCACCTTTTCCAGCAATAATTTCCGTTACTCGTCCTAGAGGCCAGTTAATGACTTTCCGAGTGTCACTGCCTATGAGAACGACGTCTCCCACAGATATCGTCGATCATTTTGTAGCTTAGGTCTTTGAATTAAAAAACCCAGATATTCAGACCTGAATCTTTTCCTAAGATCTTTTTGAAGTGCGAGTGAATATTTTAATCTTCTATTAAGGCTTTTGTGATCTGCTGCATCACAATCTGGTACTCCGATTTCCTTAATATCTTGAAGAAATAATGATGGTGACAGAGGAGCAAAATCTGAGTCATTTTCCGAAATGTAGGTGAAAGGTCTTGAGTTAATAATCGACTCACAGTCACATAGAACCATGATCATTTCCTCATATGGGATAAACAAGCACGACCTATCACTCTCTTTAATATGTCTTTTATGATTCGAATTAACCGTTTGCACCAACCACACCACCAGGAGGCAGAAGGAGGATTGAATTTCCACTGAATGCGATTCACAGTTGAATTCTCGATGATTCCGATCCTAGTTCAAAGTTCTTAACAAATTATCGGCTCCAACAAAATTGGTTCCATTGTCACAGTAAATAACTGTGCATCTACCTCTTCTTGCCACAAACCTACGTAGGACCAATAAAATGTATCAGTCAAAATATCTGACACCATCTCAATATGCACAGCCCGA